GCCCGCCGTGGTGGTCCGCGGTGCGCTGCCCACCGTCGAGATGCTAGCGCGCGTCGCGCAGCTCGGCGGCGCGGTGCTCGAGACAGTGCACATGCCGCTGGCGCGCGCCGGGGACAAGCCGGTGCTTGCCGACGCGCTGCGCTGCTCCACGGTGCGCTGCTGGCGCCCGTAGTGCTCGATGCGGTACTCGCCCCTCCTGTGAGAATTTTGGGGTCGAGCTGCTGCTTTCCGACGTGCTGTTGCGCGTCGGGATGTTAAGTGCTGGTGCCCGTCGCGGCGCTCGGCGGCGCTGTGCCCGAGGCCGCCCTCGCCCCGCTCCGGGCGTCGGGGTCGAAGCTGTTGCCCCCAGCGCGCTCGGCAACAATGCGCCGCTGGTGCCGGGTCGCGGCGCCCAGCGCCGCGGTGCTCCCCCGCGCGGTCGTTCGGGTCGGCCTGCTGCTCTCCGACGCGCTGCTGCGCGCCGAGGTGCCGGCGGCCGTCGCGCTGCTGGGCGACGTGGTACTCGGGGGGGTGCTCGTCCCACTGGTGCGCGTCAGGGGCCAGCGGGTGCTCTCCGACGCGCCAGTCGGAGCCCGCATCCCGCCCCCGGCGGGCCAACGCGGCTCGAGGAAAGAAGGGGAAGCTCGCGCCCCACCTCCAGCGGGCCAATGCGGCCCGCGGGAATGGGCCGATGCACGCATCCCACCTCCAGTGGGCCAATGCGGATCGCGGAGGGACCAGGCCATGGCCCTACTATGACGAACGGACAACACACACACACCCATACCCATTAGGGGGGTCGTTGGGAGGAGGACTGGCTATGGGTATGGGTGCGGGTTGTCGGACCCTGGGGAACGTTCCCGTTCGAGCGGGGACCCCCCATCCGACAACACGCACCCGTAGCCCTCTCCGAACCCCCCATGGGTATGGGTGTGTGTTGTTGGTTCGTCATACTAGTCGGACTCGGGGCAGACCTCCAGGAGGTAACGATCCCACTCGTCGTCATCAGGGTCGAGCTGCAGCTCCCAGTCGCCCTGCTCGCCGGCGCGCGGCCGGCGCCCGTGGGCGGTGGTCGGCCGAAGTTGCGCTCGACACGGTATTCGCCCCACTCGCGGGCTCTGGGGTCGAGCTGATGCTTCCCAGCGCAGTGCGCGACATCGAGTTGCGAGTGCCCATCGTCCAGCTCAGCGGCGCAATGCTCGCGGCAGCGTCGTCCAGCTCAGCGGCGCCATGCTCGCGGCAGCGCCCATCCCGCTGGTGCGCGGCGTGGCGCTGGTGATCCGGGTCGCGCCGTTCAGCGATGCGCTGCTGGTGCCCGCCGCGGTGGTCGGCGACGAGCTGCTCAACTTCGGGGCGTGAGTGCTCGAGGCGGTGTTCGTCGCGCTCGTGGTCGTCGGTGCCGAGCTGGCGCTCTCCGCGGAGGCGCTCGCGCCGTCGCGGCGCTCGGCGACGTGGTGCTCGAGGCGGCGTTCGCCCCGCTGGCGCGCGCTGGGGTCGAGCTGGCGCTCGCCGACCTGCCGCTCCGCGGCGCGCTGCTGGTGCCCGCCGGGGAAGCCGCGCTCAAGGCAGCGCTCCGCGGGGCGCTGTGCGCAGCGGTCTCTCGGAAGCTGTCCCCGGAGAGGCTTCCCGGGGCAGCTGCACGCCCTCCTCCGGACATGCGCTCGGCGAGGCCTGTCGCGGGGGTGGTGGGTAGCGACGGGTTCTCTAGATTTTGTAATAAAGGGAGGGGGGTCTCATTTCGGGGGGGGTCTCTTCCAGGCTATCTTGGAGGGCCTGGGGGGGTCTGGGGACGATGTTTTGGAGGGTTCTCCCACGGGGGAGGTCTGAAATGGCTTGTCTTGGAGGGTCCAGACCCCCTCCCTTTTATTACGAAATCTGGAGTACTGGATGCAGTCCTCGCCCCAGGTCGCTGGCGTCCGGGCCGCGCCGCTGCTCTCCAACGCGCCGCTCGCAGTCGAGGTGGCGCCCGTGGTGCCCGACTCCGTCGAGCAGGGCGGGGGCAGGTACCTGGTGCTGCAGGCGGCGCGCTCAGCGATGGTGCTCTGTGCGTTGCTCGTCAGAGTCGCAGGCGCGAGCCCTGCTGAGCTGGCCACGCTTGCATTTGCGCGCTGCCGCGGTGCACCGTGGAGCGTGGCCCAGGTTACCCAGTGGAACCTGCGAGACGAGGCAAGCCAAGACCGTCGATGGCCCCGCGACGGCAGGAAAGGCGCACGCGTGATGCATCGCGCCCCCAGGTGTAGCGAGCGTTCCAGGCGCCCCTGTCGCAGCCACGAAGAGGCGGGGTGTTGGGGCCAGTGCAGAGGTGGGCCCCGTCCGCGCGAGCATCGCCCTCACTGCCTGGAGTGTGTCTTCGGCACCTTCCCCGCCCTCTCTCGCGGCCAAGTGCTCGCGGGGGGACGCGCCGAAAAGCTCGCGCGGGGCACCCGCGACGTCGTCCTCCGCGACGACGGGAAGGCGCGACCCGTCAGGGGCTTGCCGTCCGCATCAACGTGTGCGGAGCTTGCTCCGGCGCTCCCGCCGCCGCCAGCTGAGCTCCAGGGAGTCCGTGGACCCTGTCGGGGCCACAGTCGCTGGTGCTCCTGCTGGCATCGGAAGTTCACTCTCAGGCCCTGGCACGGGTCTCCGCGCGTGCACACTGGCCATCGCTCGGACGTCCATTCCCTGTGTTTTTTTTCGGTTTCGTGCGTGTTTTTTCGCCAAATGATCAAGGATGCTCCTTGATGGTCCTCGCCGAGAAAAAATGCACACGTCCGAGCGATGCCAGGCACAGGCGGGACTGGTGTCTCCGCCGCATCTCTCCCGCCGTCAGCGAGTCCGACGTCTCTGCTGGCCTGGGCCCTGACGCTGGGGCAGTGCTACACGCTTCCCTGGCCGGTGGTGGGAGCGAGGGATGAGGCTTGACGTGAACAGGGCGGCAGCGCTGCCGCTGGTCAGCTGGACCTACCCAGTACTGGCTCTGGTCCCCCGCGCGTCCAATGACGGTGCCATGTTGGCCGATCGTGGGGTTCGTGGGCGCGGGAGTTTGAGGGAAGTTTACGCGTCCTGGTCTCGCCCTAAGCGAACGCTCTCAAGCCGAGAGTAGGCAGAGGGGGGAAGAGGGGGGAGGGGAAGGGGATGGAGGGAAAGGGGGACCAAAACATTCGAGGAGCGAGGGGAAAGGAAAACCCTTTCCTCCTCCTCCTCCTCCTCCTCCTCCTCCTCCTCAACCTCCTCCTCCTCCTCCTCCTCCTGCTCCTCCTCCCCTTCCTCCTCCTCCTCCTCCTCCTCCTCCTCCTCCTCATCATCATCATCATCATCATCAGATTCCTCCCCCTTCCTCTTCCTCTTCCTCCACTTCCGCCTCCTACTCATCACCATTCTCCCCCTCCCCCCCTCGCTCTGTCCTTTCCCCTGTCCTTTCTCGTCCCTCCTCACCCTCATCTCCCTACTTCCTACAAGCTCCTCCTCCCGCCTCCTTCCTCCCCCCCGTTCCCTCGATCCTCTTTAGCTTCCTCCTCCTCCTCCAATCTCCTCCCACCTCGCGCGCACAGGCTCTCCAGATGTCCCCCCACAACGCTCCAGGCAGAGAACAGGACAGGACAGGGCGGCGGGCGAAAGGAAGCGGGAAAAGGGAGGGGAAAGGAGGCGAGCGAAGGGGGCGGGGGGCAGCAAGCAGAGTGGGGGGGGGAAGCAAGAGAGAGGCCCAAATGGCCCATCTCCTTTTCTCCTCTCCAAAATGATGCTCTTCCTTGCCCCTCCCTCCTCCTCCTCCTCCTCCTCCTCCTCCTCCTCCTCCTCCTCCTCCTCCTCCTCGTGCTCCTCGGAAATCAAATCTGGGGGTGCGCCAGCGCCTGCCCGCCCCGACCACCCCCCCCTCCCCCCTGCACGCGCGCCGGGTGGCAGCGTCCCGCCGGACTCCGCCTTGTCCCCATCTGCCCCCGCGCCCAAGCATCCGACGATGCGCTCATGTGCTTGCTTGTTGCCCAGCGCGCCGGGCTGCTGCTGCTCCTCGTCCCGCGTGCATCCCCGGGTGCCCCCGGGGCCCGGCAGCGGGCCCCGGAGGCCGAGGTCGAGGAAGCGCGCCGGCATCGAGCAGGGAGGCGCGAGGCGCCCTGCCCCCTCCCCCTTCTCGTTGGGACGCTCGGCATGGGCACGGGAAGCACCGGTGCGATGCCCAACATCAACTGCGGAGGAGGAGGAGGAGGAGGAGGAGGAGGAGGAGGAGGAGGAGGCGGAGGAGGCGGAGGAGGAGGAGGAGGCGGAGGAGGAGGAGGAGGCCCGGAGGCGGAGGCGGCGGACGCCCAGCGGCCGCTGTCTGGCGGGCGGCCCCCTGCCTCGCCGAGCGGACGGGGCCCGCGGCGGCACGGGCGGCAGCGTGCCCTGCCCGAGACGCGCAGGAGAGCTGCCCTCGGCCGCCGTCCCCGTGCGTTGCGTCCGCAGTTCGGAAAGGGCCGACCTCGGGCCCCCCTCCCCCGTCGCGCTCCCTCGCGGCCGGGCGGGTGGCCCGGGCCGAAAGCCCCGCCAGGCTGGCGCGCCGAAGGCCCCGGAGGGGCAGAGCTCTCTCTCTACCCGCAGGCGGGGAGCCCGGCCCTCCCCGTGGGTCGGCCTGGCACCCGGGGCAGTCCACAGCGCCATCCTCCTCCCTCCTGCTCCTCCTCCTCCTCCGCCCCCAGCTCCCTCCTCCTCCACCTGCTCCACCTACCCATCCTCCATCTCCTCCTTCTCCTCCTCCTCCTCCTCATCATCACTCATCCGCTCTTCTCCTCTCTCCTCTCTCCTCTCTCATCCTCCTCCTCCTCCTTCCCCTCCTCCTCCTCCTCCCTCCTCTCCTCCTCCTCCTTCTCCTCCTCCTCCTCCTCCTCCTCCTCCTCCCCTCCATTTATGACGCATGGTGAGGTGCCGTAGTGAATAGCGGGTGATGTCCTGCAAAGTGCGTGCCACTCTTCAGATTACACTTGCTCGTGGCTAACGATGAGCCCCCGTTGGTCAAATGGTCATGTGGTCCTCCCCCCTCCATCTTCCTCATTTCACCCTCTGGCGACCTGTATGCAGCTGCACGTCGCCAGGTCGTAGATGCGGAGGCAAGCGTCCTCGGCTCCCGCCGCGATGTACCGGCCCGAAGGCGACACCGACACGCAGGTGAGCCTGTGCACCTGTCCACCCGGGAGAGGGCCGCTGCCGCCGCCGGCAATGAACGACGACGATGGCGGCCGACGACCGACGGCGGCGGTGACGGCCGACGACGAGGACGGCGACGACAACGACGATGACGACGACGACGCCAACGACCGACGACGAAGGACGACGAACAACGACGGAGATCAACGAGGACGGCGGCTGACAGCCGATGTGTGGACCGACGGCCCCGACGACGACGACGACGACGACGACGACGACGACGACGACGACGACGACGACGGAGACCGACGGAGAGCGACGAGGTCGGCGGCCGACGACGACCGCGGCTGCGGCGGCGACGGCTGCGGCGAGGAGGGGGGCGAGGAGGAGAGGGGTGAAGAAAGAGGGGGGGGGATGGTGGAGGGAGGGCAGCGAGGAGGACGAGAAGCAGCAGGGGGATGCGCACGAAAAGGAGGAGGACGAGGAGAAGGAGGAGGAGGAGGAGGAGGAGGAGGAGGAAGAGGAGGAGGAGGAGGAGGAGGAGGAGGAGGCGGACGATGAGGAAGGGTAGATCGAGGAGAAGGAGTGCGATGGGGGATGAGGTGAGGATAATAACTAGGAATGGCAGGGTGAAGATAATGACATGTTGGAGAGGGAAGGGAGCAGGAAGAGGAGGAGGAGGAGGAGGAGGAGGAGGAGGAGGAGGAGGGGTAGGAAGGAGGTGATGAGGACTCGAGGTGATGGCTTTGGGGCGCCTTAACCCCGTTGGTGGGCCCAGCTGCCTGGTGCCACCACCCTGTAGGGCACGGTGGCCCGTGTTGCCGCGCCTGGAACGGCCGCGGCCGACGTTCCACCCTCTTGGGCCACCTGGGCAGGCCAGATGCGGTGCCGCGCCTGCAACAGAGATGAGGAGGAGAGGCGGAGGAGGAGGAGGAGGAGGAGGAGGAGGAGGAGGAGGAGGAGGAGCAGGAGAGGAGGAGGAGGATGATGATGATGAGCGCTCGGCGGGGACCTGGTCAAGCCAGGGCGCATGCTTCACACCACACACAGGCCGCTTCACGACAGCACCACCCGCATGTGGAAGCCGAAGGCGAGGAAGACAAAGATGAAGTACACCCGCGCGAATGCTGCCCGCCGTGCGTAATAAAAACTGCCACTCCAGCAATACTCCCAAGGTATAGTGGCGAGCTCACGCTTCTTGCAACCACCAGCAAGAGAGGGAATTGATACTACACACAACGTGAAACACCAAGCTGAAATACTGCACCAAAGCCGCCAGCCATGACCACCACACCGTCACAATGCCGCGCGTCAACGCGCGAGCATACATGATGAACCGCCAGCACCAGCACGACAACGAAGAAGAGCCAGGATGCGAATGACACGCAGAAAGCCTAGGCCAGAGGCCACATCCACATCGCGACAACGCACACATGACTCCACCAGCCGCCGATACGGCACAAGGGCACACCAGGCCCTGGGCGAGGGGAATGCTAGCCGCCAAGGCTCGTCCCTCGACCCTGCATCAAAATTGCACTGAGCCAACTCCCACCAGAAAATCAACTGAACAAAACCAATCCAGTGGAAATGAGCCCAGCCCCGCAGGTAACAACAAAAATGCCTCGAACAAAGCACCGGCATGATGCGCACACCGTGCAACTGCACGCCCAGCAGCCCGCCAGCTAAGTAGCACAGCCCCATGAACACGAGGAAGACCACCTGGAAAGCGAAGAGCTGCAGCATGCAATCGAAGTGGGAGGCATACGAATTCAACCCGGCGTTGCCAAAAGCACCTGGACCTCAAGCAGCAGGGAGCGGCGCACCACCCCACATTAAGCCCCGGGACGACGGCCGAGCGGCGCTGCGGGGGGCCACTCGAGCCGACGTGGCTTGAGCCAAATGGCTACGGAGGAGAGGAGGAGGAGGAGGAGGAGGAGGAGGAGGAGGAGGAGGAGCAGGAGGAGGAGGAGGAGGAGCAGGAGGAGGAGGAGGAGGAGCAGGGCAAGTAGGACGAGGGAGGGTGCGCCTGGCCCGCGGGAGGGTCAATGCAGCCGGTGGGGTCGGCGTAGTCGACGTCCCAGAATAGGATCCTGAGGGGGCCCACCCGCCCTCCCCCGTTCCCCCTCCGTCTCCTCCCGCCCCTCTCCAAGAGAGCACCTGGACGCGCCAAGAGGGACCGGGGCCGGCCCAAGAGGTCCCGGAGACGGCTCCGAGAAGGCTCCAGAGACCTCCAAGACGGAGACGGCCCTAAGTGACTTCTTTTCCTTTCCTGGGTAACGGTCGTTACCCGATGGAGGGAGGGGTGTTCGGGCGGGGGGGTAACGGTAACGGCGGCCGCGGCGTGCACCCGCCAGGGTGCGTCCGTGCCACCGGCGCATCAATCGCCTGTGTGCACCACAGCATGGAGGGGGGGTCCAGGCCATCCCCCCAATATGTATGATCGTTAGCGTTACCCGGGGGGGAGGGGGGGGGATTTGGCCCGGGTGACGCGCGTTTCCCTGGGGAGGAAGCAAAAAAAGTTCTGAAGCGTCCCGAGAGGGAGGGCCCTAAGGCGCCTCTCCAGCAGCCTCCCCGTCTCCCTTAAGGCGAGGGCCCAGAACCCTGGAGCCCGAAGGGCTGTCAGCTCCGGCGCTCGGAGACCAATCCAGGGCGGTAGGCCCGTCAACACATGAACCTGGCGTGACGCCCACGAGGGGCACGCTTCCTACGCAGCAGCGCTTGGCATTGCTTGGCGCTGCATGGGTTTGCATTAACTTGCATTGCTTGGCGTTGCTAGGCTTTGCTTAACATACCGGGGAACGCCTCTGGAAAAACAGAAAAAGAACAAGACCAAGGACACCGGGGGCAACCCAAGGAACCCGGGCAAGGCCGGCCGTCAAGAACAATGAGGAAATTACTGCGCTCCGAGCGATCCCCACTAAAACCTTCGGCGTTTGTTCCCGCAGTGTGATACTGCTTATTATTGTGGCCAACCTGAGCTCGGCGTGCATGTCGCGTATGATAGGACGCCATTATTCGATCGCTGCTACATTATACTCCATATCACGCTCTGTTCGAATATGCTCTGATCGATGCACATATGATTTGTTATGCTCTGCTCTCGGCGGGGTGGCGTGACGTCTAATCGTTCGTTGCTGCGCCTGTCTCTATCCTGCGGCCAGCCTTACGTCGGCGCGGATTCTGCGTTTGGCAGGGCGCCATTCTTCTGTCGCTGCTGTATTTCACAGTATTCAACATGTCAGATTCCATCATGTTCTAGTAAGTTATTCCGTATTATGCACTGCTGTGTTCTCGACGGGCCGGCGTGACGCCGTGACGCCTGTCACGATAGATACGTCGACCGATCGTTCGTTGCTGCGCCTGTTTGCTCCTGTGGCCAGCCTGACGTCGGCTCGCACGTCTCGCTTGATTATAAGGTAATATTAAATGTGATGCTGTGATGCCCCTGCTCATATATGTTATGCTACTTTTATGTGAGGGCATGATCTGCTATGCTCACTTCTGTCACACTATGGTTCGTTGAATACAATCATATGTAATAATATCGTATGTCATGTTATGGTATGTGGCACCGTGTTATGGCATAGTGTCTAATGATAGGTGATGTTATAATATGTTATGCGTATGATGCTGTTTACGCCACCCCATGTATGCTTAGTCTGTTATGCGATGATTTGCTACATCGAGACAATACTCTGCAAAATAATAACTTACATGATGTTGCAATACAGTCGTTGCAACCGTTGCGTTGTCGTTGCTGCGTTATGGCATGCTCTGTTCCTTCGTGACAAATTATGTTGTGCTCTATTATGAGATGTTCTGATCTGCTATCTCATAACAAGAGTTACCGCGCGCTGTAATTGCATGTTTCGTCATGAAATGACACGGTATGCTCTGATGCTGTGGTATGCTATGATATGTTATTTCATCGTATGCTACGTTGTGATCCGTTCTGTCATGCTCGTTTATGGTGTGGTAGGGTATAGCATGCTATGTGATGATATTGGCAGGTGTGCTATAATATGATGGGTCGTATTATGCTATGCTGTGTGTGACCAGTTATGTCATAGCATTGTGTGGTATGCTGTGCTGTGTTATGCTTTGTTCAGGCCTGTGATGATGTGCTATAGTATGCTGTGCTGCTGCTATGCTATGCTATGTTCTGTTACGCAATAAGATGGTATGTCACGCTCTGGCATTGTACGCGCTGTCATGATGTGTTATGATATGGTATGTGCTGGTATGTTCGGTCATGGTATGTTATGGAATGCGATGTCATGATATGATGTGATATGTGGTGTGATATGATATGTGTGATCCGCTATGTCATGGCATGCATTGGCATGATCTCTCCTGTTATGATGTGCTCTGTCGTAGCATACTCAGCTATGTTACAGCTCTGCTATGGTAAACTCTGCTATGTGATGTTGCGTTGTGCTATTATGCTCTGCTATGCCATATTATGTTCCTTTATGTTCTGCTCTATCATGTTATGCTCTGCTCAATTCTGTCAGTCTCTGTCGTGTTCGTCGTCGGCGCCAGGCGGGCGTCTCGGGGGATACTCGGTGGACCTGGGGACCTGGCTGCCGCGGCATGCAAAGAATGGCCGGGTCGGCGCGAGGCGGGCATCTCGGGGGATGCTCGGTGGACCTGGGGATCTGGCGGCCGCGGTTTGCAGGGTGATCGGGCCAGGAGGTCTGTTGTTAAAATCTAACGACCCCAACCTTCCAGGTGGGCAACACGACCAAGGAACCCGACGAACCCGAGCAAGCCTGGCCAGCGCAGCCCAGACACCCACCTGTAATTCGAAAGCACATGAGAACCCCTACTCCGAGCTTCTTAATATGCGCCGGGGGGCGTTACCCCCGCCGACAGCCCCACATCGACCCCCTGTCGCGGGCAGCCACCGCGCGCCGAAGGCGCTCCGCCCCCCGTCGCGGCGCGACGACGAGGCGAGGTTGACCCCCGTCGGAGGGGTACCCCCACGACTATCAAGAAACCCAGAGTAAGACAACGCCGAATTGGGGAAAGGCCACCATGAAAGGATAGCTAGCCTGGGAGAAGCCCCCGCTGATCCCCCTTT